GCCCAGGGTGGTGTGATGGATGTTCATCTCTCTTTGACTGCTCGATCCCCTGTGTTCTTAGTTCTTTTTATACTTATCACTTATTTTTCCCATACTTTCCGATAGCCTGTCAGTAAGTTTTTCACGAGGTCAGTCACACAGACTCATCCATTCTTCACACTTTATCTCTGGGAGACACTTTCCTGGAACTCTCTGCTCTTCTCTTTTCCCAGCTGGTTGCTCCTTACACCTTTGACTGTGTTGTCCCTGGACGTTCTTTTGCCCTCATCCTTTGCTTTTCTCCAGAGTTGGATTTTGTGTTTATGGTGTCTCTCGTTTTTGTCTTTTTTGACTGACTTCTTTGGTTTGGTGGAGTACATCATCCAGAGGTTAACCACTTTAAAAAGATGGTTCAGTGTCTTTGGGCAAGTTGAAGCCTTCAACATTCCCTTCTCTTGAGCCACGCTGCTCCGACTTGGACTCTTTTCCCTCTCTCCCAGTGCCCAGCTACCATTCGGAGTCTCCTTTCACCGTCATCCTGGAGATTCCCTTGTCTCTTCTTCATTGAAGCTCTTGTTTTCTGTGTCTCATATCTTCTTTATATTTTGATTATGCTCACATTTTGGTGGAGGACTTTCTCCAGTCGCTTTTTGAGATAGGATGCTTGGGAGGTAAAAAGTTTGAGACTGTGCATGATTGAAAACTTGATTGATAGTTTGGCTGGCATTGAGAGTTCTACATTGGCATTCATTTTCTTAAATAGAGTCAAAGATACCGCTCCCTTTCCTTCTTGTTTTCATGTAACTGTTTTTGAAATCAGAAGCTGTTCAAATTTATTCTTTGTATGTAACTTTTTTCCCTTCCATCTTTAGAAGCTTGTAGGCGTTTTTAAATTTGTTCAAGTTTTTTAAAATGTCGTGATGGTGTACCATGATGTGGCTCTGTGTTCATCTACTGTCCTGCATATTCATTGGATCCCTTCATTCCGGAAACTTAACATTCTTCACTTCTGGGGAAACTTCTTGGAATTATTGTGCTGAAGATTTTCTCCCTTTCGTTTTCTTATTTTGTCTTTCTGGAAGTCCTGTTATCTAGAACTTGGCTGTCCTGGACAAGTTCTGTAACTTTTTTATACTTTCACTCCACTATATTTTTCTTTTCTCCTTCTTTCCCCCCCCCCCCCCCCCCCTTTTTTTTTTTTGATCTTTTTATTCTACTTTCAGGGAGATGTCTTCAATTTGACTTAACCTTCTTTAGTTTTTTATTTCTGTTTTCAAGTTCTTTAATTTCTAAAAGAGCTCTTTTTTTGTTCTTTTAAAAGAGCATCCTATTTTGTTTATTGATTGCAATGTCTTATCTCTATGTTATTGATAATAATTACAGTTTCTGTTTCTTTCAAGTTGTTTCCTTCCTTCCCTTCTTTCCTTCCTTCCTTCTCCTGTCTCACATGGGTGGGGCCTTTTGACTTTTACATCAGGATATTCTCAGTGGGCCATTTGTTGGGGAATCCCCAGTGTTGGTATCTTTAGGTCTTTCTTCTTGGGCTGCTCTGATTCCCCAAGAATATTCTTATAGTCTCCTTCCTGCAGAATTCTGACTACAGAATTCTGGGAGCTGAGTGTGTGGCTGGGGGGTGGGGTGGAGGAGCTGGAGAATTCACTGTTAAGTGTGTGTACAATGATTAAATCCACCTTTGTGTAGTACAGCTGGGCAAGGTGACTTCAGTCCAAAAATGCTCTGCTTTTTCCAGGGAATGACCCTCCAGTCTTGTGTCAGAGGGAGCGAGAGTCCTATGGAGGCGTGGTGTTGAGTCTGGCTGCAGCTTAAACAACCTTCACCCATTCCTCCGTATTTTAGGCTTCCACCTTGCTTACCCCAAGTTCTGTCTGCACTAATGCACCAGTTCTGAGCCTTCGAGGATACTGCTGTGTAAAGGGAATTGGTTCTCAGTTTTTTCCACTGCTGGCTCAGGATCTGGCTTTCTTCGGCCTGCTGAGTCATTTACTGTGCTTCCAATCTTTTGTAGTTTCTGTTTCCTCCAAGTTTTTTCTTTTTCTTTTTTCCTGTTTGTTTTGGTCTCTATCTTCCATGTTAGAAGCTTTTTTCACAGCTTCTAAAATTTTCCCTTCAGTTCTCCCTGTGCTGTTTAAAAAAATTTTTTTTTTATGTATCTACTATAATTTTAGTGGGAGGAGGTGAAATAGATGTGTATATTCTGTTTGTCATCTTACCCTGAACTTATTAGCTAACTTTATGCCATATTAATTTGATTGTTGGTAGTTTTAATAGTTTTCAGTTATTTCACATGTATTTTCTTGACAAAATGTAGGTTTGACAACAGGGACTTGATACCATATTTGTTATCCCCCACTCCAGGTCTAGCCACAGTATGCATGGGAAGTACTGAAGCTGTCTGTAAGGTGGTGCACACAATAGAGCTTTGAAAAAGTAGGGAAATAAAGGTGCTTTTATATACGTGTGTTGTCTTTTCTTGTCAGGTTCTCTTTGACTGCCATGGAAAGAGGAAGGAGAAACTAGGAGTATTTTCTTTAAGGCGTGGTTTGACTTCTTCACTGAGTTATTGTGGCCTTCTGAACTGTGTGTGTAATTCCCTTGCTACAATTGTGTCTTGGTTTTTTGTTTTGTTTTGATTTTTCTTTCATCTGTCTTAGGGTTTCTGTGACGTACAGTAGAAACAAATAAAAGGTAGTCGATTTTGCAGAGTAGATGAGGGAAGACATATAAGTTGTTTAGTGCCTTCTATGTGTAGATACTTTATATTTTTTCTGAGATAGGCAGGCAGTATAATAATAATGATTAACGAGTAACAACAACAACAACAACACATGCTTTAGAATAGAGCCTGGTGTACTATGAACTCTAAGTTACAACTAGAGATTGAGTCCTCACAATAACCCTATGAGGACGGTTCCTCTTCTCCCTGATTCACATTTGCATAACCAAAATACAGAGAGGTTAAAGGTTACCAAACAATAAATGGCAAGGCTGGGATTCAGGCTCAGTCTGGCTTCAGAGAGTGTGCTCTTTATTGGTATCTTATTCTCGTGGGCTCTGGATTCAGGTGTTGGCTTAGCTACTGACTTACTAACTCTTTACTAACTCCCTGAACCTAGCTTTCTCATCTGACAAGGGGTGTTATAGGACCTGCCTCCCAGGGTTGTGGTGAAGATGCTGTGAGGTATGTGTAATGTGCTCAACACTCACAAATGTTAACAATTATTATTTGGTGGTATTTTTCCCATTTAAATGAGAGGAAAACTGACCCAGAGAGAGGGTGTTGTCATTTGTAACCTTGGAACTTGTTCTGTGCTCCACAGTTGGGAAATTAAAGAACTGAGATTCTATCCCAGCTTGTCTTATTTCCAAAGACTGCTCTTTCTGGTAAGTCGAGTGGTAAATCGAGCACAGTAGTTGATAGAACTACCTGTTGTGGGAAGATGCTGTGAGGTATGTGTACCAATACCAATGCCAAAATGCTTACCAATGCCAACACCCCGAGAGAGATTCGTAAATCTCTGTTGGCATTGGTAAGCATTTTGTCTTACCAATATGTTGCTATGGTAAAGCCTCATGAACTTGGACTTATTCGATTCAGATTTCATGATAATTTTAATTATGTCAAATTTGACTTTGGCAAGTGTCTTTGTCTTAGATGTCCAAGGGGCAGGGCCTTGGATTGTTTTTCCATTTCCTTCTGAGGATCGGTTCCCTTTCCTCCTTTGTTCTCATTTGTCCCCCAAACCCACTTCTATTTCTGTAGAGATTAGGTATTAGGGAAGGGAAATTATGTCATGCAGTTTCAATTTCCTAGCAAGCCCTGGAAGTCTTGCTCCTGTTTTTCCAATTCCCCCTGCTTGTTGGCAGCGAGAGGAGCCCACTCTGTGCCTGTGCTGTGCCAGGTGTGAGTATCTCACAGGTTATGAGAAGGTCACAGCCCAGCTCTTTGCATCTTTTGTTTAACACCCCCGTCCCAGTCCATGTTATGTGTTTCTTCCTATAACAGTGCATTATGTTTATTTGGGTGCAAGTCTGTTTCTGAGAGTCTTTGAAATCAAAGATTTTGTTATTTCATCTCTGCATCTTTTCTGTTCAATTCATAGGTAATGTTCACTGAATGCTGAATGAAGAAATGTTTAATGCTTGCCACAAAATAATTTCTCTTTTCTTAATAGTTCCAAACAAGAGGGAGAATATCAAGTCTAACTTTTCAGAAACATTAGCTATTAAAAAATATTTCATCTTGGTAAAGCACAAGATAGTTTCACGGGGAAGCAATATTTAACAGAAGTTACACAAAGTTTTTCTTCGTAACGTAATATGCAGTGGAGTGGAAGGCCTGCTGGGAGTGGTGAGATGACGAGCTGGCACCTGATGAACCGGCACCTGATGAACCGAGAGCCAGTTCACTGGCTCCTTGGAACTTTCAGCACTGGGGTGTAAACCCAGGAAAGCAACTTTATAACCAGTGTTCCTGCAGTTGTTTCCTCCAATTCTGGACAAATGGTCAGGCCACATGAGGAAGTCTGGTTTCCTACAGAGTGAGCTTAGTGATGTTATGCTGAGATCCAGGTCTCTTGATTTACCCAACTGCCTCATTGTAAGTCCCTGGTGCAGTTGAGCCCCTGTAGGATGGATCTGGTTCTGAAGCTACCTTTGCTTGAGTTGGTTCTTGGTTCTTGCTTTGTTTTGGAGTGTTGCCTTAGAAGGCAGAAACTTGGGTTAGAGGTGTTTTATAACCGGAATTCTAGGAAATTCTCTGGCAAAGAAAAGTTTTGGAGGAGTTGAATTGCTGGAATATGTATGGAGATCATTTTCAGGGTTAATGGGATGTGGGAAGGCGGTAGACAGGAAGACTGCCCTGAGACCCTTCTGAAAACCCTCATTTTGTGAATAAAGACATCTTTTTTTAGCATCAGGGCAGCTGAGTACAATTGAGATAGATTGGACTCTGAGGTTCTAGGGTTGTTAACTCAAAAAAATATATTTTTTTTTTTTTTTGGCCCTGATTCATAATTTAATGGCTGTGCTGGTCCAGGTCCCTTGTTTCTGCCGATCACGGGCCCACTGCTCTGGGGTTAGGGTTTTCTGCTCAAAGGCATGGATGTGCGGGAGTTCTTCTGCTAGGCACGTGTTCACCAGCCGGTGTCTCTGAAGCAGCGGCTTCCCCTCACACTTGGCCGACACCACCAGGACTCGGAAGCTGGACGCGCAACGGTTGGGAGTCGTGTCGTCCACTTCCACGTGCTCTGCCTCCAGGTCCCGCTGCAGCTTCTCCCGGAGGTACTCAGCGCTGAGTTCCATGGCCGCAGCCCAGCGGGGGCGGCACCCGGGCTCGGACCCGGGCCACCAAAAAAATATTTTTTAAGTGTCTAGAATTCTAGGCATTGTACTAGATGCTGAGAATTTTCCATTTGAGCGAAATGGACGTGATCCTTGTTCTCAAAATGTAGATTTTTCTTGGGGGCGCAAAGAGTACCAGTCACCTTAATGTTAGCTAGTTACTGCCATGATAAGAGAATATGCAGACTGCCTTGGGAGTGTTCCTAGGGCCACAGGACCAGCTTGGTCAACAAAGGCTTCCTGGGGATGGGATGCCCACATTGAACCCTGAAGAATGAGCATGCATTGGCCTGGTGTAGAGGAGATCAAGGAAGGAAGAGTGTTCAAGGCAGAAAAAATGTCACATGCGAAGGCTCAGAGGCAAGAAACCTTGGTGTTTGGAGGTATTTGAATGTAGTTATAGTGAGAGCAATGATTGCAAAGTCGGGGAAAGTGTTTAAAATGACGCTGGAGGATAAGCAGCAGCCTGATTGTGAGGAGGTTTGCTAAACACTGATAAGAAGTTTAGCAGGCACTTTATCCGGAGGGCGGTGGGGAAGGACTAGAGGGTGGGTTTTTATTTATTTATATAATTCAAAATCAAAATAGATTGAATAGATGAGATGATGATGAAAAGCAATGATTTTCCCAACCTCGCCAACCGCTAGTTCCACTTTCCATAGACATCCTCTTTAACAGTTTTGCATTTTAGACTTTTTGACAGTTACCTCCAAAACACTTTATTACATGTTAAACCATGTCATTGTGACTTTAGTTTTAAGTGATTTGTTGATTTTCTGATTTGGGATGTAGGGGCTTAGCCTATTTGTGTTATTCCCCACATCTCTTCTGTGCCTCTCACTGAAGGATAGTTTGTGTGTGTGTGTTTAATAGTCTTTCTATTGTAATTTTATTTTATTTTTTTTTATTATTTTTTTTTTTTAAAGATTTTATTTATTTTATTTTTTCCCCCCAAAGCCCCAGTGGATAGTTGTATGTTGTAGCTGCACATCCTTCTAGCTGCTGTATGCGGGACTCGGCCCCAGGATGAACGGAGAAGCGGTGCCTCGATGCGCACCCGGGATCCGAACCCGGGCCACCAGCATCGCAGCGCACGCACTCAACCACCAAGCCACAGGGCCGGCCCTATTGTAATTTTAATAATATCCTTTTCTTTGAATCAAGTTTTGTCAGTATCTTGCCTCCTTTGTTTGTAAGATAAAAATAGTAATACCTCAAATATTGGCTCTTCCCTTCTTGTTCCAGCGTGTCTCTCCTTCCTCTGTCATACTTTTAAGTTTTTGTCATTATTTTTACATTGTAAGAGTTTTTCACATTTGTATTCTATCTGCAACCCCAACCAAGTATTCTGGGGGCAGTTCATGGGCTGAACTCTAAAAGTTAGAAATCAAGTATTTTATTGTTTTTAATTTTAGGAATCATTTTGTTATTCTGAGTCCCTTTTTCATAAGAACCTGTTCTTGTTTAAAGATTCACAAGGCTTTTCAGGTGTGCTTAGAGAGTTTTTTCTTGTTTCTCTACGTTTTCTTGAGCTTTCCCAACTTAGCTCTTTCTTCCAGGGTCATTTTTCTTTTTTGTTTATCTTGGTGTTTATTTCTGTTTCATACAGGTGGTATTCCTTGTGTGTCTGGTGATCTTTGGTTGTCTGTAAATATATAAGAAATAAAGACTAGCTACTTGTCTGAGTTGGATCTGTCCCCTGATGGATACAGAACTGGAGTGATTTGCTTCAGAGTAGTTTTAGGCTGTGGGCCCCTAAATTACAAAATGAGGAAAGGTTTACTCTAAGGATGTCAACACTCAAACCAGAAACCTTTGCTTTATGTTTTTAGAGAAATACCTCTTGGGATTTTTTTGTCTGAGGGTAAATGTTGGGTTACCTGAGTACGTGCTGGTGTGGGAGAGTCAGGTACTAGAGAACGGAGTGCTGATGGGCTTAGTCATCCTGCACACAAATAGTCAATTAATCCCTCTGCTTTCACCCCTGTTCTTACCTTGGTCCTCAACATACCTCAGGACCTGAAGCCCACTGCCTCTTCAGGATCCACTGAGTCGTCTCCCATCTCACCTGTGCCCTCCTTTTGCAGTGTGCTCTGGGCTGAGGCTCTTGCTGCTGTGTTCCTACATCACGTGCCTCTCTCTCCTCCTCTTGTCAGCTAGATATTTGTTGACTTCTCATCTTTTGGTGGCTCTTCCCTTTCTCTTATTTTTATTTTACAGACTTATCATTTTTTTGCTTCCATACTTTTGTTTCACCAAAGTCTTTCAGAGGAATAAAAACCATCTTGAACCTAAAGTCACTGAGGATTTTAAGAGGCGGGGTGATAACGTTGGTTTGTCGTGTGGCTTAGGAGAAAGAGTCACGATTTTAGAGTCAGACAGGCCTGAGTTCAAACCTTGGCGCTGCCACTAGTAATTATGGGACTTTGGGCAAAACATTTTACTTTTTTGTTCCTTAGTTTCCTCATTTTTTCAACAAATACGTATCGAGTCCCTGTTATGTTTGTAGCAAGAAGATGCGGGACAGTTGAGGTCGTTCTTGTGTAATGGCTTCTGTATTTCTCTAAAGGAAGGTTTGAGGCTGCCCTCTCCTAAGAGTGAGCAGAAAAGGCAGTGCTGGGGTTGGAGATGTGCTGATCATGGAGAAGGTCTGAAATAGCAGTAGTAAAGAGGAGGAGAGCCGAGCAGGGAGAGATAAGGCTTATCTAGGAGGGTGTGGCTCAGCTCATTGGTGACAATTAAATGAGAATGCACGAGTTTTTGAAGTTATGAGATTTTTGTCTGGTGGTATCTCTCAGAAGCCCAGGTATAGTCTGGAAGGAGTCCAGTATTTGTATAGAGCCATGGAATGGGTTTTTTCCAGGCTGGTTTATTGGAAGTACAATGGGAGTTGGTGATGTTTGGTACTGTGGACATTTCACTTAAATATTTGTTGAGCTTTTACTAGGTGCCAGACATGTTTCTAATTGCTTTAGATAGGTATATCAGGACATAAAACAAAGATTACCGTTCTTACGTTATTGAGCAGGGAAGCAGATGATAAACAGTAAACATAATAAATAAGTAAATTGTGTAATATATTGGCAGGTGGGAAGTGTGATGGGAAAAAAATAGTGCCATGGTATGAGTAGGTTTCAGTTCTAAATAGTGTTTTTTTTTTTTTTTTTTTTTTGCTGAGGAAGATTAACCCTGAGCTAACATTGTTGCCAATCTTCCTCATTTTTTGCTTGAGGAAGATTAGCCCTGAGCTAACATCTGTGCCAGTCTTCCTCTACTTTATATGTGGACTGCCACCACAGCATGGCTGACGAGTGGTGTAGGTCAGTACCCGGGATCCGAACCCGTGAACTGGGGCTGCTGAAGCGGAACACTCCGAACCCAACCACTGCGCCATGGGCCAGCCCCTAAATAGAGTGGTTTTAATAAGCCTCATCACGAAGATGAGATTTGAGCCAAATACAAAGGAGATGAATGTATTAGCCACTATCTGGGAGAAAGCACATTCTAGGCGAGGAACTAGCCAGTGCAAAAAGAAAAAGAGCACGCCAGTGTGGCTGAAAAAGAATAACGTAGGACAGAGTAATAGCAGAGGAGGTGAAAGGTAATGAGAGGTGGACCAGAGAATATCAGCCGTTATAGGATAGGGCATCAGGAGGTGTTGGGCTATTACTGTGGAGTGAAAGTGTCACTCAGTGTCAGCAACAAGATTTCACTTAAGTTTAAAAAGCTACTGTGTTGAGAATAGACATGGGGAGAGGGTAAAGAGTAGAAACAGGAGACCTGCTGGGGGGAGGCTATTGGGGTAACCAGGTGAGCAGCAGTGGTGGCTTGGATTGAGGTAGTAATACTAGAGGTGGTAGGGAAGATTTGGGCTCTGGATGTATTTTGAAGGTAGAACCAATAGGATTTGCTGATGGATTGGGTGAGGGGTGTGAGGAAAAAGAGAAGAGTTGACTATAAGGCTTTTGGCCTGGGCAGCTAGAAGCATGGAGCACTGTGGGTGGAACTTGGTTTAGAGGGGCAGATGAGGAGTTCACTTTTAGGCGTTTTTAAGTTTGAGATGTCTGTTAGAGATCCAAGTAGAGATGTCACGTAGGCAGTTAGAAATAAGAATTTGGGGGTTGGAAGAGAAGTCTGAGCTGGAAGTTGAAATGAAAGCTAAGAGACACTATATGATCACTGAGGGAGTGACCACAGAGAAGAAAAGAGTGCCAAAGTCTGAGCCTTGGGTTACTCTACCATTAAGTGGTCAAGGAGAAGAGTGAGCAGCAGTAGGCACAGAGCTGGTGTGTGGAAAACCAGAAGCATTGGCAGGAAGGGAAAAAACTATTTCAAGGAGGAGGATGTGCTCAGCTCTGTCAAATGTAGCTGAAAGGTCAAGATGAGGATTGAGGTTTGACCTTTGGATTTAGCAACTTGGAGGTCATCTTGGTGACATTCAGAGCAGTTTTGAGCGAGTGGTTGCCTCCCTAGAATGGAAGCATAATTGAACGATGGTTTGAAGTAGGAAGAAAGTAGTGAAACCAAGATTGCCTCTGGGTGAGTTAGGTCTAAGGATGTGTAGTCATCATCACACTTGTCTACCTTCTGGGTGCTTAGTTCTTCTAAGTCTGCACTAGGTGCTGAACAACCCAACCAGGTACGTAAGGTAGATGGTGTTTCCATTTTGCGGGTGAGAAACTAAGGTTTAGAGGTTACGACAGCTTTCTCAAGAATATGTAGCTGGCAAGCGTTGGAGCTGGGAGTTGAAGTCAGGTCCTCTTGCCCACACTCACGGTCCTCTGCTGCTCACTCTCCCTCCTGCGAGACTGGAGATGGACTTGCAGCAGACGCTCCCTACCAAGGGACTTTTACAAGAGGAAAAGAGAATAGTGTGATTAAAAGTTCTAGGAAAACACTTGTGTACTGCTTGAAATGCTTCTATTAGAGATTCTGGGTTTTTTTCTTAATTAGAAATTTCACTTCTGTCAAAGCGTGGTACGTGTGTATGGTTCAAAAGTAAA